AAATTTTCACGAAAATGCAAAAAAATTCTGTGAATCTTTAAACTCGGTAAAAAGCACATATATGAAATTACCTGATCGCGAAAAAATATATACCCTTTCCAAGGATGAACATTTCCACGTATAAAATATCCAAAAACTTTTACCTCTCAATTATCTATTACTATATTATAAACGTCACCAACGAATTCATACCTCAAACATTACAAATGGTTACAAATACTTAGTGTCAAATATTTAAATTATTTCCATGCACATTTACTTCAACTGAAACATATACCAAATTCCTACAAACATAAAATTCACAAAATAACTATCATTTAATTAAAATATCACTAAACCACTCGACACGTCGACTTATTTTTACTTAAAAAAACATCCCAGAATTGCACAAAAATGGCATTGCGCACACTCTTCACTATATCCATGTACACTGCTTTTTTGTCATAAATTACAAAAATTTCACGAAAATGCATGAAAATTTTGTGAATCTTTAAATCTGGTAAAAAGAAACATGTATGAAATTACCTGATCGCAAAAAAGTATGTATACCCTTTGCAAAGATTTTATACCTTTCCAGCTTAAAATAAATAAAATATTCCAAAAACTTTTACCTCTCAATTATCTATTACTATATTTAAAACGTCACCAACGAATTCATACCTCAAACATTACAAATGGTTACAAATACTTAGTGTCAAATATTTAAATTATTTCCATACATGTTTACTTCAACTGAAATGTTTACCAAATTCCTACAAACATAAAATTCACAAAATAACTATCATTTAATTAAAATATAATTAAATTCAAAAACACTACTTAAAATATAAATAAGCACATACATTAAATTAATAAAAATTAGCTTACAATCCTAATTACTTTAAACTAAATCATTGCTAATAACAATTTTCCAATAATACGATATTACTTTATTTACTCCTTACATTTAGAACAATGCATAAAAATAATATCCTCAAATAATTAAAAATACTACTTAACCTAATCTGCGAATTTTTCCTCCATACTTCCTCCGCTAAATAAAAAGCAAAATTCTCTTTATCACAATGCCTAAATAGCCATTTCGAATTCACTTTAGTTAGGGCCATGGGATCCAAAAATTAACCAACATTGTTTCACACAACACAAAATAAAGCTAAATACAAAATTTCCAGATTTTTTTCCAGATTTCCCCCCTTTTGCGATTAAAGAACTGTAATTCGTCCATTAATGTCACATGACATATCTCATGATCTCTCATTTCCCTCACACAAAATAATGCATAATCGGAACTGACTACTTCTCACATTATTACCAAAGTCCTAGGTAGTAACCTTTATCGCCTCCAAAATGTCGCTAAACTACCAGTTACCATATTCCAAAGATCAGCCAAAATTTCCATTTTTTGAGGTCTCAGGTAAGAAAATAGAAAAGCACAGAATATATGGAATTTAATTTTAAATGTTGGGAAAAATATGCCCTTATAATATTTGATATTATGCACTTCGGCTTACTTATTACTTACTGAACTTAATTACTTAAGCTTACTTACAACTGTTTTATAATCGATCAGTTCACTCTATTATGAAGAAATTACCCTCCTTCACAAATTATAGGTTTGTGATCATTTGGCAATTTTGTCATCCCCATCTATTCACTTTGTGTCTTTGTGTTATATTCTGGGGATCTTTTATAACTTTTATGTAAAAATGAAGTCAAATAAACATAAGGTAGCTTCTAAGGGTTCAGAAGTTATTAGTGTACTCATTCTAGAAGTCTTCAAAAGAATATTAGGTGCATTTGTTATTTGGTTAATTTAAAAGGAGGTACCTCAGTCACCAAAATCAGCCAACGAAATTGCGAGATTTTTTAATGTGGAACATATTTCACTCTCAGATTGTTTTAATTAAAACATTTTTCATTCGATATCATCAATTCAACATTTCATTTTTGCTCTAAAATATTTACCCTTTTTACTTTATATAATCAATTAAGAAAAAGAAGCAATAACTTTAAATGATATTTACGATATACAATATATTTTATTTTTATGCATATTTTTAGACCTCGTATCATTCTTTCATTTGTTATTTCCTCTGTAAAATACTGACCATTTTATCTTTCTATTTAGTCGACAATAAACAGCAGTTTTTTCGTGATATTCATTCTTTTATACCCTTCATTAGATTTTCCTTTCAAAAGATAACAATATTTAATTTACCATCAACTGAAAAAGAAACGATGTTTTTCTTCTTTGAACATGAGATTTTGTGCACTAAGTGAAAATGCAAAGACGACAACCAGATGAAATTAGTTGCAAAGCATAGTATTTGGAGATGCAATGTATAAATCTACAAGAGGGAAAGAAAGGTCTTAGTGTCAATAACTGGTTTCATGATTCCAGGTCTTCCTTTCTTCTTTTTTACTCTTTATATATTGCTGGGCTGAAGAACTAACTATCATCAAATAAAGGAATAGACAACAAAATAGGAGTGAAAACAAAACAACTCTTTGAAACAACTATGCGAGTTAAGTTTGTTGCTCATTTTGGTTAGTCTGTATTTAAGGGTGCCCCTTGGATTATCGGCAAGTTGTTTCATTTGTGGTAACCTGAGTAGTTGAATGTTATGGAAACCCTATTATGATGCGATTGGTGGCAGTGAATTTGACTGATGGGAAAATATTTGTTGGATGTCCAGTTAAGAAGTATACCGTGTATTGTGTGCTTTGTATCGTAAAGTGAGTGTTTGGTCGTATAGAACAAGAGAGCGGCAGTTTTTTTTTCTTTTTTTTTTTTCAAGTGGTTAAGGACAGAAGAAAAGAAACTTTGTTGGATGTAATTCAACGGTATAAGTAACTTGTTTGTATGAATAAAATGCATATGGTCAAACGTAAAGATCCTTTAGATGGCTTTGAATGGGTTTGTCGCAAAAAAGGTTCACCATATTAAGAGTTCCACTAAAAAAGGAACATGGTTTCATGAAAGGGTTTGGATACTGTTAAGGAATTTTGTATGCCAGACACAGAAATTTGGAAGTAAGGTTAGTGGATATTTCCTTTATGTAGTTCATAGATACAATAAGATGTATTTTCTTTTTGATGTTATTTCATTGTCTGATTTAAAATTCAGTTTATTGAGATTATACATTGTTTGGTTGTAGCGTAGAATTGGATGCTCCTTCGATTTTTAAGTGAAAATAGATCGATGTGCACATGGACAAAGTCAGTGCGCAATGCCAGGCTCGGACAATTCTCCGGTTTTTTTAAATGAAAATAGATTGATGTGTACATGACACCGAGTCTGTGCAATTCTTTGATTTGTTATTTTGGTTTTGTGTAGCATCCATCTTGAAATTCTGCCTTGCTGGCCAATTGCCAAGGAGCACCCTTATTTATATTTTTACCCTCATTTTTATTAATTACTTGAAAGGTAAAATCGGTTGACCTGAGAAAAATCATGGACTAACAAAAGTCTATTTGTCAAGCAAAAGGGTAAAAGTATAGTTTAGGGTACCCCTTAGCGATTTTGGGCAGTACATGGATACCAATTTTGTGCAATTCTTTGACTTGTTATTTTGGCTTGCGAAAAGGTGATTTTTACGCCAAAAGTTGCCGCTACACAAAACCAAAATAACAAGACAAGCAATTGCACAAACTCGGTATCCATGTACACATCGATTTATTTTCACTTTAAAAAAAAATCCCTGGAATTGCACAAAAAACGGCATTGTGCACTCCTTTGACTTTATCCATGTACACGTCGACCTATTTTCACTTAAAAAAAAATCCCCGAATTGCACAAAAATGGCATTGCGCACTCTTTTAACTTTATCCATGTACACATTGACCTATTTTTACTTAAAAAAAAGAATCCCAGAATTGCACAAACTTGCATTGCACACTCCCTTTACTTTGTCCATGTACACATCGATCGATATACTTTCACTTAAAAAGTCAAAGGAGCACCAAATTCTACAATATAGGCGAACAAAAGGAAGCACTTCCGCAGAGAACCCGGTAAATGTAGACATCGCCAACTTTGGCGATAATAGTTCAAACCTGGTAACCTAGCTAATTCATCCTATTCGCTTATGCGAAGGTTGTCGTAGTTCGCATTTGGAGATTTATATTATTTTTCTCTTATTTATTATTATTTTTTCTGAATTTTTTAACAACGAATAGATAGAAATATTTTCGCATAATTAAAGAAGTTTTCGTCGAAAGATGCCGGTTCTCGGGTTGTCCGTTCAGGATCAAAGGAAGAAATTATGGCGGGAGGGGTGAATGCTAATTTGTAACATGGCTGTTCACATTATGTTCTTAATTATTAACAGCTGTAAGCACGCAGAACCATGAGGTTTCCAACCCCTATAATAATTTTAAAATGTATAAATTCTAGTTTTATTAACAAATGCTACTGAAGAAAATTTGATTCATAATGTATGATAGGTCATCATTTCATAATATATTTCACAATAGTGAAATATATTATGAAAAAGGATAGGTATTTGTTTCAAAGTAAAATGCTTTAAGCTATATGCAAGTAACTTGAAAAAGAAAAAAAAAAAAAAAAAAAAAATACTGAAAACTATGTAAAATGGATATATTAAAGGTCATGCATTCATTAATTTATTACATGGGCATGGCTCTTACTGAAAATACATCAATCAACAGGCAAAGTACTTAATAGTGAAAAAAGACACTTCTAATAGAAATATTAGTATTCTAGGTATATGAATTAGAGAAAATACATATAAGTATATTGTAAACCTAAGTATAAGAATACTAATTGTTATTTTTTAAATGAATTTTTACTTCCCGTTATGTTTAATACATTGTTTTCTGTGCTAACTTGAATTTAATACAAATTTATTTTCATATATCATGTTTAACCTGTTAGTTTTATATCTACATACTTATTATTTGTGAAAATTTTTACTACCATTGTCTGCTAACTAGAATTTACATCACTAAAAACCACGTTTACAAAATATCATGCTTACAGCTCGGCTCATCCAAAGAGTGTCTATGCATATTCTTTGGCTCATCCTCGATGAGGCGCGAGCTTGGCGAGTAAAACTGCAACGGCGCCAAAGGGTTCTTTCCCGAAGCGCCAACAGGTTCTCTGCGGATGAAAACCCAAACAAAAAATACATAATCTCAATAAAATAAATTTTAAACCAAACAATAAAATAACATAAAAAAGGAAAAACATGTTATACATTTAAGCATTACCAAAAGCAAATATTCACTTACGATTTTCGAGTTCACTTTGTACACACCCAGAGCCACGCAAAAATCAAAATACCAATCGTACTCAAATGACTTTTTTCAAACCAGGTACTCTTTCTGATCAAACGCTTCACATAGTGACCATCTGAACCTTTCTTTCTACAAACCCATTCAAATCCATCTAAACGGTTTTTATGTTCAACTAGACGCATATCCTTCCTACATACAGGACACTTATAATGGCTACTAAGTAAACCTTCATTTACTCACCAGTCAATTAAAGCTCTTTTCCCCTTTCACTCCGAATTGTACAGAAACTTCAAATTAATCTTACTACATTTGGCCATTCTCCGTCTAAAGAATCAAACCAACACACACCACAAAAACGCTTACAAAACATCCCATGATTCAAAATTTCCCAGAATCATGCACCCAATTACGTCACAATAGGGTTTCCAGAACATTCAACTATTCAGGCTACCATAAATGAAACAACAACTTGGCGATAAATCAAACAGCAACTTTGCCATAATACAAGGGGTACCTTAAAGTCTACTCTACCCAGCAAAAGAACATAGTAAGAAAGTAGTAAACAGAAATTTCTGAAAAAATGCGTTTTCATAGAATTTGCAGACGAATGAATGTTTCCACCAGACTGAGGTGACAAAACTCTAATGGAGATTTTAAAAGAACATTCATATGAAGGATATATATTAAGATTACTAGCATGTTCATCAAATTTATGTTGAATCATGAATACAACTTTATAGATCCAAGACCTGTAGAACATATACAAAAAATCAAATGAATCTGAAATGAAGTGAAATGACAAAACTAAAGATAAAGAGGAACATTCACCAATGGTTGCCACAGTTATTTCTAATTTACAAAATTAATTTTAACCATCATCAAAGTATATAAGTTAGCTACTTTAATAAGGAGGTATTTAATATTTACCTATGAATAAAATACATCTTATCTTTTTAATGGTATTTTGAAGTTTTCATAAATTTCACATACTGAAACACTGCCTTTTTATATTGTATTTCACATAGTTTTACTTGTATTATTTCAACCAGTTGCTTAATCACATAAAGAATTACTTTGATTTATATATTTAAATCAAAATCTGCATTAATCAATTAAGGAAGTTTAACAAATCTACCCTAACGTTTTTCACAGCTTGGCATAATAGATCAAATACTCGTCTAGTGTAAACAGAGTACTCATATACATAACTTGCAATGTTTAGTATGGTCTGATGAGAAATTAAATCTGCAATATCTAAAATTATATTCCTATGTAATGACACTATGAACAACTTTTGAATAATACCTCCAATAAATCACTCTGTTAATAAACCACATATTTCACAAAATGCTATTAAAGTTGAAAAATATTTTTTAAAAAAAAAAAGACAGATAGCTCCTGTTAAAAACGTCAGGAAAGCTGGAATTTCCAGAGAAAACATATCTAAATAAAAATTACTGGCAAATACACTTTTTTTGGCAGACTACACACATTTTATATTTCTACTTAATTACAGTTCCTGCTTGTATTAACAATACCCTTCCTTTTATGTTTCAAATTTTAATTTTCAAAATTACAAATGCACATTGGAACAAACTGTCGAAATTTATTCTACCTTGAAATTCCCTGCATTATATAATATATTGTAAAGATTGAAAGAAATAATTTATATTTTTATAGCAATTGTTAACATGACCACAAAATCTTATTTCATATGATCTGCAACACAAAATAACTGCTTGAATATACAGTTTATTATCAAATTTAATTAAATGCCCGCTTTAAGACATACTACTCACCCAATTCCTTTCCTTGCGATGGATGTAGTGAGAGCTTTCACGTAAACTTTACTGAGAGTACACCGTCTTTTATCATAAAAATTACACTGTTGTTACGTGACGTTGTGCAATGCTGCAACTGGAACAGATGTAAACTATTGCCAGACCATCTAAACTGTGAAAAATAAAAATTAAATGTTCATTCTTAATTTTAATTCCTGATAAATTCACTAAATTATATTTTATAAATTTGAAACAATAATGAGATAAGATATAAAATGTTGTTTCGTATTTAATGAAAGAACACAGCTTTGAGTGAAGATGAGAGTCTGAGTACATCTCATCTCCGCTCAAAGTGTGTTATGTTTTGATTTAGTTTAGGCGTCTGCTGTGCGAAACGTAATTTTTCGTGTTCCTGATTATTGGAAAAACAAAAAATGAGTAAACCGCAAGTAGCTGGCGCTGCAGAAATATTGCGTAGTTCACAAAAAGACGCTGAGTATATAAGTTATATGAGATATTTAATTTCAGATATTATACAGAAATCCTTAGGTTAGAAAACTTTTGTACCCGTTTGCTTTTATTACTTGTAGAGGATAATCTGAAACTTTATGTGTAACAATGAAATTCTAACAGCTTGTATTTAAAAAAAATTTCCTCCGAATTTAGTTTATTAATCAATCATTCATTATGGAGTAATTCTCTGATACAGGAATATTGAATTTAGTTTAAACAAATTTTAATAATTCCCATGCATAATTTAACATGCCAGAAAACATTTTGCAGAATGTGTAATGGAACATAGGAAAATATTAATAACATATATTATGCTGTTTGACTTGAAAAACAGCTCTAGTTAATATCGGAGAATAGTATGTGGTCTGATGCCCGCTATGTATTTAAACTGACTAGCGAATAGTAAATATTGGTTGTCATTTTCGTTGTATAAATCCTAATGTGTATATAAGCTTGCTAAATATATCAAAATTGTGAAATTATTTTTAAAAAATGAGTTAAAGTACCTTTTTAATTTTCAGAGAGCATTTCTGACCGGTACTTTAAAGGGACTTTTAGGATTTGTTTTATGTTTTGCATACGTTTTTCAACGTTTCATATAATTATTACACAGTATTGATTATATAGGCTATTTTTCGTTCAATATCATGAACAAACATATATTTTTCTAAAATATTCCAATTTATGACACTGTCTGAACCTTATCTTGAATTTGTTGATATAAAATTGGGATATTTTTTATTTTTAGTAATTATAACAAACTTGTCAATTTTCCATTCTTAAAGTGTTGCCAATCTGGTACTTATGCATTAATGCAGCCACCTTGGCACAGTTTGGCCGTTTTTCCCAAAAGAAAAAGGTGACTCGGTGAATTCTTGGATTGCAACTTGCAGTGGATATGGTTATGTAGAAAGCTGTTATATAGGATATCGTTACCTAAAGAACTGAGTGCATGATCGCCGGAGTTTGGTGACTTCTATTCAAGTGGTTGTGAAATACTTAAGTACCACTAATCTTTATGAGTTTGTAGTTTTAGCTTCTTTTTAAAGGCTATATGCCTTTCTGTGTTATTCTGTGTGTCTTACCAATTCAGTATATCTATATACAGTCAAAAGTCGTTAATTCGGACACCCATATTCCGGAATGATCTATAATCCGGACCTCAAAGCTTCAAACTTTCTGCGCATGCGTCGCTTTGACGCATGCGCGTAAGGCCTTTACGGCTGACAATATGCTTGTGCGCGTGCGCAAAATACGTTTACGAGTGTGCGTTAATGTATAACGGATGGTATTAGCTAAGCTAAAAGTATTTAATTATCTATTTCAGTTAATGTTGCAGATTGCGTTGTTCCTTAATCTTCGAATTGAATCCGGCTTATTATTTTTTGCAGACTGTTAGAGCAATTTTATAAAAGTAAGCTTGAACTTTCGATTATGTCAAATAGAATTTCTGATATATATTTATTAATATGTAAATGATCTACAAAGTGAAAGTATGTTTCGAAGTTCATTAAACAAAAAGTGGAATTGCTACAAAAAATGGATAAAGGCATATTCTTTGTTTATCTAAACTTTGTTTATCTTTAACGCCGCGCAATGAATTGGAAGTTGATCTGTCAGCACTATCCTTATCTTCAGGGCAGATGTGTTTATTTTATTTGGCTTATAATTCCTTATTAAATGTAGTATTTCATCTCAATGTACTCCATCTTTGATATGATTTAAATCAAATTCCTCGTCATTATAATTTGCTTCCGATAGCGAAGAAAGTGACAGAGGTTATTGAAAACGAAAAAATTTCAATTGACAAATTACTCGGTATTCTCGACACAACAATTATAGGACTTGAACAGCGGAACTTTGTAACTGAACAAGAAATTATGTCTGTTTAAAGAATTAAAGAGAATGTATTATCACATAAAAAACGAAGCAACTTAAACAACTTACATTGAAAGAAATGAAAGAATGTTTAATAAAGTAAAACAAATAAATATTAAGCTTTTTTTTTTTTTTTTTTTTTTTGTAAATTTTGATACCCTTTAGATCATAACTGTTCTTTATTTCATAAATTACGGTTTCATATTTTTAATTTTATAATTTCTGCATGCCATCTTACCAGATTTAAACTGATGATCTATAATCCGTAAAAATCGATAATCCGGAATCGCCGAAGTCCCGACGAGTCCTGATTAACGACTTTTGACTGTATTATAAATAAATAGCAAAAGAACATTTTTCTCTATATATTGCACAATGATTTGTAATTTGCTATTTCCCTCCTAATTGTTATTGTACATGGCACTGGGCAGTATTTTGCTTTGACTGTCCTCTTTTATGGGCATGGTTCTGTGGTTTCAAAGTTTTCAGGTAATTCAAGACATTCAAAATGATGCGACAACTTGTTTATGATATACCAAATGAAGCATTCTCTGAATGCTTTGAAGAATGGTAGGACTGCTGCAACAAATGTATATATTCCGATATATGTCATTTCTGAGGTGACATGGTAATAAATTTTTACATTTCAAATAGAACACATGTTGTTGGAATTTTCTGTGTTTATTTAACATAGAAGTATTTTTTTAAAAATGTCAGGTATAAAAAATATTGGCAGTTTTTTTTAATGTGTCAGTTTAAACTGAGTTATTTTTTTACTTGACTGCTAGTGTAATAATTTTCTTATAAATTTAATTTTTAATGCAGGCATTCCCATTTGGATGAAGTGGAAAGACTTCAGTTCATTGTTTTCTGACCTGTTATTTTTTAGCCTTACGACATTATCAGGTATGACTCTTTATTTATATCAGGTATGACTCTTTATTCTGAAATTATTCAAAAACTTGAAAGAAATGTGTGTATAGTTAATTTAATAGGAATATAAGCATTATATTTAATATTTTAGTGTAATTAATTAAAGGATCATTAGCTTTTGACACTTTTTTTTAAGTTCTTTCAAAAAGTGTATTGATTGAGAAATCACATAAAGTCACATGGAAGTCTATCTGTCTTGAGTAATTCCTGAGAGAAGCTGGATTGTTTTACAGGCACTTTTTTGCTTCATTCTGTGTCCTCTGCGTATCCATTATAGGTAAATCACAAAAATTCCATGCTAAATAAAGGATGATCTTGCTTTTCAAATATATTTTTTTAGTTAAAAGTTTTCATCTGCCCTCTGTAACTTTTGATTAAGGTATTTTATCTGTTGTTAAGAGAATGACAGGCACTATAAATTAACAGCATAATCACCTTCCTTTGAGAAGAAACTGTTTTTGCAGATCTTGAACATTTCAATTGAATGCTATCATTAGTTATTAAATGATGGCTTTATTCTCTACAATGATTGTGTATTCTAAGATAATATTTGATACTTTTATAGTTAACGGTTTATACTTTTTTTGGCTTTAAAGGCCAGATGTTTAACATCTTTTTATCAATTTATGAGTAGCTGAGTAATGATGCAATTTCAAATATACAACAGTGCTTAACAGTGGACAGTGGTTAAAACCATGAAATACTGGGAGTTTGATCCCAGCATACATTGGTTTTTTTCATGATTTTTCAATGTGTAACATGATTGGGAGTCAGTTTCCCTTAGAAAGTCCTCCAAAAAGGCATCCCTTCCCTTAGGCAGATACCTCTCGTGTGTTTTGCGGTATTCAGATAATCTAATCTAACCAAATAAGCAGGAAGAATAAATATAGATCCAGTAATTTTCTTTTTAACATTATTTATTTATTTTGTCGAAGTGCTGATTTAAAAAAAAAAAAAAAAAAAATTAACAAGGAGTCATGATTAAACTTGGTACTTAACATATTAATGCATCCACCTTAGTAAAAGTTGCCAAATTTTCTGAATGAGCTTAACTCTGGCAACTATGCTCATAACAATCCTTCGGTCAAGTAACATTGCCATTTTCATATTTTCCCCCGATTCCAAATTATAGAGAGTTTGTATATATATATATATATATATAAAACATGATATTTATTGCCTTAAACTCAGTTTTAAAGTATTTGATTGTGGAATTTGCTCTGAATGGAATCTGAAAGGAAGAATTGCAGGAATATGTATTTTTCAGCAAAATTAATAAAGGGTCTAATCATGAGTTTGTTTGATAGATAGCTGGTGCTCAATGCCAAGTTTATGCAATTCCCTGGTGTTTTTTTAGCAAAAGCAGATAGATGTATACATGAGGAGGAAAATTACAGGTTTTCATTCCTAAAAAATGTGTTTTATTTATTTATTTATTTATTTTTTTTTTTTTTGTTTTAAGTTGCTAAAAACAAAACGATTTTTATGATAAATACCAATGATTCAGTTATCTTTTTAAAGAAAGTTGTGAAAGCCTCCAAACTTGCACCTGCATAAGTAACTTTTACCTTTTCATCTGTAAAAAATTGCCATATTGCAGCAAGGTTAATATATAAGGTTGCATTAAAATGTAAGTGCTGTATACCCTTCCAAAATAAAGATAGGAATTATAATGAAAGACTTCATTCAGAAAATCACAAAATCAGATTCTATTTTTACCACTGCATCAAAAAGGCACTGCTACAAAAGATCATGTTGCAGAGAGAAAAATATGCTCACTCCAAGGTTCTCTCTCTCTTTTTTTTTTTTTTTTAAATTTTATTTATTATTCCTTTAAAAAAAATTTTCTTTTTTTTTATTGCTCTTCAGTTTATTTGCTTCTAGTATGAAAAGCTAACATTGGTGGAATACACTCAATTGAAATTAGAATTGAACTACTGTAAAACTGTTGATTGGAATAATTAATGTTCTATTATTTCTGAATTTCTGTAATATTTTTTCATTCAATTGCCATTCTGTGCATGAAGATGTATATATTGTTGCGTTATTTTCTTCCTTTACATACGTACGGGGTTTATGTGGATTTGGAGTGAATAATGACAACAGCACTTGATGAAGTATCAAAACACACTTTATTGTCCAATATTCTCAGAACAGCTCCAAAATCACGTTTTTACAGTCGTCGAAGAACTACTGCAAACACGCTGAAACAATCAGCAACACAGCCTCCAGGCTATCAGGCTATAATGATAGAGACAACTTCACTGCAAAGCACCAGAGTACAGCTCCCGACTCTGTTTAGTTGTTCTTGCAATTCCACGTACTCTCGAGACTCTCCCACGCTACAACTCGGGATGCACTCGACGATACACTAGAGTACAGCTTATGGAGATTTCCTATATGTTTTTACCACCAATCCTCGAATTCCATATCACAGATTATGTTCTTCTTACTACATAATATGAATATTAACAAGATATAGTGCACAATAAAAATTAAGCTTTATTTCGGAACTTCGCGCACACTTCCCGACAGCCGGCCTGTGTCGCTCTGCTCGCTACTCGTAACAAACTTCTCCTCTAGGGTTGCCACACTTATCGGAGGGCGCAAGGCGCGCTCCTTATCGCCATCACCACAGAGTTTCCCCCCAGTTCCTTTAATGGCTATTCAAAGGAACAACATAGGTTATGAAATTATCTCAGAGGATCCGTACTGTCGGGTATTTTTTACATGATTACAAAATTAGAAAAGATCAAAATGCAATTCAATATATAAAAATTGTATTGACACATATAATAAACATGAAATAACAAGAAATATGTTAAGATATGAATTTTAAAAAAATGTTTTAAATTGTTATGTAAGAAGCAAGTTTCTTAGGGAAGTGAACATGTCTTCCCGATCTGGTGACAGTTTGTGTCTTAGAGAGTTCGTTTGCAGATTTATTCTGCTGAACTGTCTTTAAGTCTTTATTTGTTTTCAGTTCAGGCAAATTAGAGTCCGAAAGCAAATAGGCTGGTTTCACACACGGTCTATAGACACAGTAGATTTCAGACCGTTAATATCAATTGTGAAAGTTTTGTCCGTTCTAGAAAGGACTTTATGCGGACCTGTATATGGTTGGCACAGAGGTGGCTTTACTCGATCGACACGTAAGTATACATGCGTACACGACTTTAAGGTAGCACTTACATAACATTTTTCTTGGCAATGTGCAGATGTTGCTATTGGATTCAATTGTTGCATTCTATGCCAAAGATTCGTGATAAATTGTGTGTCATACGGAGATATCTTAGATGACGTTATCATATCACTAGGCAACTCATACCCAAAATGCGCGTAAATTCTACAAAAAGTGCGGATCTCATTTGAGAACCTTGTTCTGTTGTTATGATCGATGGGCAGCCAAAACGAGATATCCAACAGTTGAAGATGGCTCTGCAAATGGTTTCCGTTTTCATATCCGGGATGGGAATGGCTTCAGGCCATCTGGAGAATCTATCTATTAGAGTCAAAAGGTACACGTTGCCTTTTGATGGAGGTAACGGTCCGAAGATATCCATATGGATTTCTGAAAAACGTGCATCAGGAAGAGAGAATGTGCCCAGTGGTGCTTTAGTATGCCTAGTAATTTTCGATTTTTGGCAAGATTCACAGGATTTCACCCAATTTTTGATATGACGTTTCATGTTGGGCCATACATAACGAGAACAAATAAGCTTCGTAGTAGCTGCAATTCCTAGATGTGACAGATTATGCAGATGATTAAAGATGAGTCTGCGAAAGGAATTCGGAACAAATGGACGAGGAATGTCTGTTGATATGTCACACAGAATATTACCATCAGAATATTGGCACGGTTTAAATTCCAGTTTCAAAGATAATGTGTTGTTTTTGAGAAGGTCTTGTACCTCCGAATCATGCCGTTGAGCTTCCGAAAATTTTTTTAAATCCAAAAATGGAGATTTTGTTATGGAATCAATTTCGATTCTTGAAAGAGCGTCAGCAACGACGTTTTTTGAACCTTGCACATGCCTAATATCAGTAGAGTACTGAGAAATAAAATCTAAATGTTGCAATTGTCGAGGTGAACATTTATGAGGGTTCTGTTTAAAAGCGTATATTAACGGTTTTTGATCCGTATAAATTATAAAATTTCTGCCCTCTAACATGTGTCGGAATTTCTTAATTGCAGAATAAATAGAAAATAATTCCCTATCGTACGCGGACCATTTCTGTTGACTTTTATTGAGTTTCATAGAGAAAAATGCTATAGGTTCCCATGTTTGTTGAGACAACTGCATAAGTGTGCCGCCTATTGCGACGTCTGAGGCATCTATCCCAGATGCTTAGCTGGGCTCCGGGAATAGGGTGTCTCAAAAGGGTAGCCTGAGCAATGGCATTTTTTTTGGCAGCAATAAAGGCTTGTTCAGCATTCTCGTTCCAATTTAATTGTGGGGATGAATCCTGAACACACGAACGAGATTTCTTTTTATTCATATAGCCTTCTAACAATTTTATTAAAGGAGAAAGAATATGTGCTGCTTTAGGTATGAAACATCTGTAAAAGTTAAACATGCCTAAAAATCGGCGAAGCTGAGTGAGAGTGGTAGGTTGAGGAAAATCTAAAATACATTTGACTTTGTCAGGAAGAGGTTCAATTCCATTTTCACTAAGGTGAAAACCTAAGAAATCAATAGACGTTTGACCAAAGGTGCATTTTGAAACATTTATGCAAAGTCCATATTCCTGAAGTTTGGAAAATAAAGCTTTCAAATGCCTGCAATGTTCCTCAGAATCTTTAGAGGCTATGAGCAAGTCATCGACGAAAGCGTAAACACCTTCTAAATCCCGCGTGACTTCATCTATAAAACGTTGAAAAGTCGCGGATGCATTGCATAAGCCGAATTGCATACGGGTACTTTCGAATAAACCGAATGGTGTGCATATGGCGGTTTTGTGGATGTCGGCTG